CACTGACTGTGGAGGAAGAGGGGACATTGCATGCACATTTGTAATAAAATATTTGATAAGTCATTAGCGCGTTCCTTAAAATCATAATGATCACTTTTTAATTAAAGTTATTTCTACCTCACAGATAATCTCCTAGGACTTGCTTCATCACATTTCCTTATTAAGTCCCAGCTTTCTAGCAAGAATTCTTACATTTGCTTTGTGCGATGTTATATATTCGATCTGTTGATTATCTGGTAACTTTCCCAGCCCCATGATTATAGATGGCCTTTCTTTTGTGAGCCTTAATACTAGGTACATTACAAGTATATTTATTTATTATAGATTTATACCAATGCTAAGAAGAGGACCAAGACATATACTCTACAGTGCCCTTGCCATAGCTTAAGAAAACATCCTAAGTGCAGCAATGTAAGATAAACACAAATTCCCCTCATACAATGATAGGTCTGCCCACCCCTATACATTTCGCCGCATTTTTCAAACAAACGATGGACCTTGCAATTCATCTGTTCTATTTTATATTATTTGGGAGTCAGAAAGAGAAACCATGTAAGCAAATAAAAAGGCTGGTAATCAAAGATGAAATTTCTTAGATTGTAAGCTCGTTGCGGCAGGGACTGTCTTTTGTTCTGTGTTTGTACAGCACTCGCACAGTGGGGTTCTAGTCGATAACTGGGGCTCCTTCGTTTTACCGCAATAAATACATTATCAAACTAGATCAGATATCCAGGTCCAGCCAACAATATAAATGTTACTCACATGATCACTGCTAATAGGGTACAAATGGCAACAGAAAAGGGTAAACTGTACCTTTATTTATTTCAATACATTTCAGTGATGGGGACTATATTGCCAAGTAATTTACATTATCGATTTCAGGCCAGTAAATGTTTCCATAATGAGGATGTCCTCATTTGTTCAATCACAATCTGACAGAAGGCATGCTAGGCACCCGCCATTAGTGGAATGAAGTGCCTGACTGTGATCAACAAAAACTCTAAATAGGATTGACCTTTTCATCCAGGTGTTCATAACTAGCTCTTATTTTTAGCTGTGTTTCAAAACAGAAACATCAATGCTGCAGTGGAACACACCTTCAGAATGAAAACCAGCTTCTTCATAAACACTTGGGAATCAGCCAGGCCTGAGAGTTGTGTGGGACAGTACACGTGGCAAAATCGGTGTGCATCAGATGGCAGATGCTGAATGTCTAGTGAGATGATAATGAGTCTTCAATTGTAGTTCAGGGCTAGGGGGATGGGGGGTGTGGGGTTTTTTGTTTGTTTTTCGAAAGGAAGAAATAAATTAACCTGGCCTCATTTTAGCACATAGAGTCATCAGTTCACATGAAGATCTTGTGTGTGCACCTGACCCTATTTTCTCAGAAATTCAGGAGCTTCTGCATAGACCGCGTAGGATGGTATGGTGCTCACCTAGTGGAATGTGACCAGGAAATGGGGCACACCCAATGGGTTCAAAGAGCTGCAAATTCTCCCACAGGAGCACAGACAGGCCAAGGAAGGGGCAGCTCGCTCCCAGGAGCAATAGCCTACCCAGAAGCCTCCCCTACATGCACACGCAAAGACCAAAAAATTGTCCTGTGACCCACCAGCCTTTGTTGATGTATCTCACAAGCATTTGGGGCAGCAGAGGCATGTGGGATACAGTGGGGTCACAGGAAGATTTTTCAGCCATTTTATGGATTGTGGAGCCAAAGGAATGGAGAGCCAGCCTGGGGTAGACTATATAACTGCAGTAGTTGGACCACCCATTTCACATGCCTCCTGGCTACCTCCACAACCATAAAACTGTACATGGTTCAATAGGCCTCATAGAATTCTCTTATACAGTCAGCTACATAGCATCCCCACCCCCTTATTAGGTAACCAATATTCAAGCCTGTGTGAGAGTGAACTCAGAGAAAATGGAGGTTACAGTAATATTTTTTTCAATTTATACAGAAAGAACACAGGTTGTAGTAGACCGCTACACTGACCCTCCTAAACCAAAGACCCAACTACCCTGGTGAATATATTTATGAGGAAATTCATGGTTATAAAACAAAATCGCTCCAATGCTGGTCTGCCAGGTAACCTCAATACAAAGCCTGTGGGATGGTGCTGCAGAGTAGAACTCAAAGCAGGTCTACATTAGAAGCACTACATCGGCACAGCTGCTGTAGTGCGTCTGGTGAAGACGCTCTGTGCCAATGGGAGAGAGCTCTCCCACCGGCATAATTACTCCACTTCTGCAAGAGGCAGAAGCTATGTCAGCTTCCCGCCGACATAGCTCCAGTGTGGACAGTGCTTAGGTCACTGTAATCTGCGTCGCTTGGGGGGGTGTCTTTTTCACACCCCTGGGCAACGTCTGTTAGCTCAACTCAAGCGGTCGTGTAGACCTGCCCTAAGTAAATAATAATGGGGCCAAACTGAAATAGCAAAAAAAAATTGGCTCAGTTTGAACCAAAACTGATTTTTTTTCCTCGTTTTTCTCACCGAAACATTTTATTCGACCCAAAATAAAAAAATTGTTGGTTGTGTTTCAAGTCATTTTCAGGCATTTTTCTCCTCCTTTTTTTTTAAAAAAAAATAGCTAGATTTCTAAACAAATTGCAATTTTGGGGAGGAGGAAAAAAGCCAAAATGTTTCATTTTGAAATGGTCAAAACTAAATGCTGACTTTAAAAAAAAATCCATTTTTCTTTTGGCTGAAACGATTCACCTAAGTCAACCCAAGCTCGTAAACAGTTTTGATGCCCCCCCAAAAAATGCATTTTTCAGTACTGTTTGCCAGAAAAAAATGGCCCAGCTCTACTGCAGAGTTCAAAAGGTCGTCTTCCCTTTGAAGTGCACACCTACCTATGCTTCACCCCTCAGGAAAGCTATGGCTCAAAAGGAACTTCTGGTTTCTGCATGTAGCTTAAAAATAAAAATATGACGTGATTGACCCCTGGTTTCTTTGAGAACATGATACCTGTGTCCCAGCCCACTGACTGCAGACATGCACTGTGCACTAGAAATTTGGACCTGCAGCCACAGACTTGCTTCTCTCTGAATTCATTTGTGTTTCCTGCAGTTGCATTTGCCCCTAGAAGTCACCCATTGCCAGACGTGTGATTGTTCCAGCTTTAATCAAGTTGTAATTTTACAGAAGATGAAAATACACTGGTCACGTTATCTCCCCAGCCTGACCCATCTCTTCCTAGAGGACTAAGAGCCAAGGGACCCTCTATTATGGCTATCATCCTGCTTTTTACTTGAGTTGGTATCTGCTGTAGTTGCTCTAAATATGATCAATATATGGATTTATGGGATCCAAGAGAAGGAAAGATGGTCTTGTGGTCAAGCGATCAGGATTGTATCCCCAGCTCTGCAATGAATTTTTGGGGTAGGTCACTTCATCTTACTGGGCCTCCATTTCTGTAAAATAGGGATGATAATATGTCTCTCTCTTACAGGGGTATTATGAGGTTACTTAATTAGCATCAGTAAGGACTTTCAGAGAGTCTAGGCTGGAAGGTGCTACAGAAATGGATTTGTTATGGAATTGTTTCGGGCTAAATAAAGTTTTTGTGTTCAAACAAACAAACTCTAGGTCTGGCTCGGCAGTGGTGGGACAATGAGCTGGCATGCAGAGGATTGGGTGCTGGGCCCCGCTTGGCGAGAGATGGAAGCACTGCATCATTCACATGCAGCTGGGTGGATAGGAGGAGAGGAAGATGAAAGAACATGTGATTTATTCCTAGATTTTTAAAGCCAGAAGGGACCATTAGATCATCTAGTCTGACCGGCTGTACTGTACAAGCTATAGAATTTCACCTAGTTACTACTGCACTGAGCCCAATATTTGGGGTTGACTAAAGCATACCATCCAGAAAGACATCCGCTCTGGATTTGAAGCCATAAAGAGACAAAGAATCCATTGCTTCCCTTGGTGGTTTGTTCCAGTGGTATCACCCTTACTGTTACAAATGGGTGCTTTCTTTTCTAAATTGAAATGATCTGGTTTCAGCGTCCAGGCATTGGTTCTTGCTATGCCTTTCTCCACTAGATTAGAGAGCCCTTTAGTAGCTGGAATTGAATCCCTGTGAAGGAACTTGTACGCTGTGATCAAGTCACCTCTTGATCTAATGTATAGGGCTCTAGCAGTGCACTGTAGTAATGTCATGGCAGTGCTGAGTGTCTGCATGCAGGCGCTGGCTCGCAGCCCTCTGGCTGCTGAGGGATTGTTGCTGTAACAGCAAAGAGGAAAACTAAAGGAGGATGGGCCAGGGAGGGCCCAATCCTGCAAGATGCTGTGTGCTCTTACAGGACCTGAAGGCACTCCGCACTTTGCAGAGTCAGGCTCCAAGGGGCAAAATCAGATTCAGTAGGTGGGTACAAGTTCATTGTACGCAATGAAGTGGTAGGTGCAAAAAAAGGAAGCGCATTGTGTTTCTAGAGCTCAGTGTGATGTTTTCATGTGCTGCACCTCCTCTCTGCATGGCACTGAGGAGCAGGATGTAGGATCCCTCTAAAAGTACCCTATTATCAAACAGCAATCGTTTGCTTCTGAGAGCCGGCCAGAGCCTAGTCTCCCTTCTGCCAGATTGATGTCTTTGTAACTCCAGGGAAGACTCTGGCCTTACACCACTGGAGGGGAGCTCAGAATCTGGCCCCCCAATTTGTAGCCAATAGTGCAGAGCGAACCCCAGGCCAAGAGATCTGCCCTTTCTCCTGTACACACGCACCCACCTCCCCCGCATACAACCTTTAAGAGTCAATTGCCTGGCAGCTCCCTGCCCGCCTGGCACCTCCCTGTCCAGAGGGTGAAAGCTGGCACTCACTCCCAGCTCTCCCCAGCAGGGGCTTCCTCCCACCTCACCACGTCGTGGCAAAGGCTCTGGGGGAATTGGTGCCCCCGCCCCCGAGGCTGGGGGGCGGCACCCACTTTCCAAGGCAGCAGGGGATAGCTGACAGAGACTGAGGCGGAGGGGATGTTGTCTGGCACCTCCCTCCCCGCGGCTCCCGGGGGCTGCTTGGCACTCCTTCCCGCCTGCCCAGGCTGCGAACCCGGCCCCAGTGCGGGTCCCACCCCCAGCCTTGACGCCAGCGCGCTAATGAAATGCTAATACCGGGGGCGCCGAGCCGGTCGCTGCCAGCACCAATAAAACCCGGCGCGGAGCCGGGGCTCTGCCCGGTGCCAGCCCGCAGCCTCCACAGCCATGCAGAGCGCAGCCCCCGGGCCGGCCGCCCCCGCCCTGCACCTGCTCACCTCCTACTTCATAGACAGCATCCTGGGCCGGAGCCCCGCCGCCAGGCGGCAAGGTGAGCGGGACCCTGCCCGGGGAACTGCCCCCGGGACCGGGGCGCCCTGCCAGCCCCCCACCCGCCGGGGATGGATGGGGGGACCGGGGAGCCCTGCCAGTTCCCCACCCGCCGGGGATGGATGGGGGGGGACCGGGGCGCCCTGCCAGCCCCCACCCGCCGGGGATGGATGGGGGGGACCGGGCAGCCCTGCTGGTTCCCCCAGTGCGGAGCTCCCCGGGGCAGCGCAGCAGCCGGGCCCTCCAGTCATTCTCCCGCTTCTCCACTCTCCCCAGGCGGGGACCCCACGGAGCCGCCCGAGCCCTGCCCCGCGCCGCTGGCGGCAGAGAAGCACCCGGTCCCCGGCGCGTGGGCGGAGAAGGAAGCGGCAGAGGACGCGGAGAAGGGCAGCAGCTGCCCCGGGGAGCCGGCGGCTGGTCTCTCCGGCTCAGCCCCCGCAGCTGCGGCCGAGGCGCCGGGGCCCCTGAAGCGGAAGCAGCGGCGCTACCGCACCACGTTCAGCAACTTGCAGCTGGAGCAGCTGGAGCGGGCGTTCCGCAAGTGCCACTACCCCGACGTGTTCACCAGGTAGGAGCGCGGCCAGGCCGCTCCGCCAGGGGCAGCCAGCCCCAGCACAGCCCTTCCCACCCTCCCTGGGGGGCCAGATCCTGGGAGATGCTGCCCTCCTTTGGGAGGATCGGGCCCTGACTGCGCCCTCTCCCCAAAGTTTCGACTGGGTCCAGGGGGATTCAAAAAGAGATTCCTCCCCCCAAGGCAGCGGGGCCAGACCTTGAAATGGTCACTGCCCTGTCAATGCCACTCCCTGGTGTAGGGAATAAACCAGATTGAATGAACCCAGGGGATGTAATGTCAGGGAGCCCCCAGGAAAGCGAACAGTGATTCTGGCGGATAGGAAAAGCACTTGAAGCAAAGGGAAATAGCTCGGGATGGATGGTAATCGCTGGCTTTAAAGTAACAGCTGGAGCACATGCGATTCCGCGCTCGCATGAAGTGGGAATCAAGGTGAAATCAGGGCACTATGGTGTGCGAGGGGGTCTCAGATCTTCCATCCACTTATTGCTGTCCCAATGGTCCTGATGCAGTTACTGGGGTGTGTGTGTGTAAAAACCTTGGAGTTGTATGTTACTGTTTATATAGTCGCAGGCTGGTAGGCACGATGCAGCGGCTTCTAGATTGGAAATCACCTATAAAGAGCCGGGGATCTGATTTGACTTTTAGTGAACTCTTAGTTTTTGATGGGGCTGTTTTTGATTAGTCACAAAAAAGAGTTGGCTTCAAGAGGGAAATACTAAATGATGTTTGGCTCTTCTGCAGAGAGGAGCTAGCAATGCGTCTGGATTTAACAGAAGCCAGAGTTCAGGTGAGTAACAGGTACTAAAGAACATGGACCTAGTTTGGACTGAATACACTGCCTTTTGATATGTATAAACGTTCTTAACTTTAAGCTAAGTGTGAAGTGTTTTCTTAGTGCTATTGGATTTTTTATTTTTCCAGCTCACTCAGATTGAGAAGTGCTGCTGTAAATGATGTAAAAAGCTGGGGGCTGTTATTCCATATTATCCTACAGAAGAGGACCAAATGTGATCAGAGCTTTGAATTTAAAAGAATGAGAAGTTGTTAGTATCCCACCCTCACAAAACCAGAACCGTCAAAATGAAATGTAGTAATTGTCAGATATAATATCAATACACGTCAGCGAACATTAAATGATCATTTAAAAATAGGCTTTGCATCTTGTCTAAACCAGTGGTTCTCAGCTGGGTACGCTTATCGCTGGGGGTACGCAGAGGTCTTCCAGGGGGTAAATCAACTCATCTAGATTTTTGCCTAATTTTATAAAAAGCACTAGCAAAGTCAGTACAAACTAAAATTTCAGAGAGACAATGACTTGTTTATACTGCTCTATATACTGTACACTGAAATGTAAGTACAATATTTATATTTATTTTATAATTATATGGTAAAGATGAGAAAGTAAGCAATTTTTCAGTAATAGCATACTGTGACACTTTCGTTATTTTTAACATCTGATTTTGTAAGCAAGTTTTTTTAAAGTGAGATGGAATTTGGGGGTACGCAAGACAAATCAGACTCCTGAAAGGGGTACAATAGTTTGGAAAGGTGAGAGCCACTGGTCTAAACTATTTAAACATCTGTTTACGGATGTAGATGTGGATTTGAATGAATTGTACGCATATTGTTTAAATACCATTTTATATTTAAATCTTAAAGTTCTGAAACAAACCAACAGAAGCCTAAAGATTCACAGTAAAATTTGATACTTTTTCCACTATAATTTCCTCCACTAGAAAAATATTTAAAAACAAAATTAATTGGGGATAGGGTGACTAGACAGCAAGTGTGAAAAGTCGGGACGGGGTGGGGGATAATAGGACCCTATATAAGAAAAAGACCCCCAAATTGGGGATTGTCCCTATAAAATCGGGACATCTGGTTACCCTAATTAGGGACAATAGTATTGTATAGGAGTTCAGAATGTAGTTACATTAATAATTTTCTGACATTTATCAACTGGTGTTCTCCTTGATATTTGTTTTTTAAAGAAAGGAGAAATATCCTGGACATGTCATCCATTATTAAATCTGAGACAAAAACACTAACCATAACATTTTAGACAGTAACATTTTCTAGATGAACACTTAAAAATCCATTTTTACCACTGGTCTGTAATAGTCCAAAATGAAATGCATACTGGCATTTTTAAATTTCTGTATTTAGTTTTTGTAAAAGTTCACATTAGCAAAATATTTATGCAGTTTCTTTTGAAGTGCCAAAATCTGATGTTTTGGTTCTTGACCAAAACAATAAAAGGACCCAAAATGGTTAGATCGTGTTGTGAACTAATGATTAGTTGAATGTTGTGTTCTACAGCTAAGCAGTTATTTATGTAGTTCACAAAAGCATTCATGCACCATCTCCTGCCCCAATTTAACTTGAAAACATCTGCACGGTTTTAAAAAATGGTTACATAAATTAAAAGATGATTCTGAGACTGAGATGAGAATGTCTGCTTGAAGGGAATTTTTATTACTAGGTTGGGCAGTTGTAATGGAACATCAGACAAAACCTTAAGCATACAGGTGCAAAGATTGTGTAACCAATCGTCCATACTGCAATCCTCTAAAGAAGCCTATTCTTGGATCTAAACACCCATAATTAACACTCTCTTTTACAAAGTATTAACTCTAGTATTAACTCCTTTACTGTAGCTTTTTTTTAAACTTGTCTACATAGCAAATATTAAATCTTGTTAAAAATTTAGTTTCAAACAGACCATTAAGGGTCCAAATTCGCACAAACCAATCAAATTATACTAACCTCAGCACATCGGATATTTAATGAATTACTTTGCATGTCAGTCCAGCTGCAAGCTGCGGTCATGACTTGGCTCCCAGCATGTACTGTTCATTTTTCATGAGTATGATATGCGTTGCAACCTCTTCCCTGATTTGACAGGCTTACTCACAGACTCATCTGTTTAGCTCTGTTTCTCCTCACACTCCACCAACGGGGCCAGATGCTCAGTTTGTGTAAACTGTAGATCAGTTGAAGTCAACGGAGCAATGACAGTTTACACTGGCTGAGGAGCTGGCCCCAGAAGTCTTGATTTACTCATCTTTCCATATTTTAACACTTGGGCCCAGATCCTTAAAGATAAGTAGGCTCCTAAAATCCATTGATGTCAGTGGAAGTTAGGAGCCTAAATACTTGTGAGGATCTGTGCCTTGAAGACTGGGAAAGAGAACTTCCAGCCATCAGGGAAAGCTCTTAGACAATTTATATATTACATCCAGTGCTCAATGATTTTACGTGTGAGCAAGCTTTGTCACCTTTTTCATCTCAACACCACAGCTAAGTTATTTTCTGACCTTTAAGGAAAGAAAATACACACACACACACACACCAACATAAATATCACCAATGCTACTAGTAACTAAAATATCTTAACACATGACAGCCACTTGTTTCTCCCATAAAATGAACATGGATGCAAAACTGTTAACCCACCCATTTCCCCAATCCCATTCTCACCTTCTCATATGGGCTTGCCAATTGCATGCAGTTGGGTTGCGCTGTTCGATGTCTCTTTTTTGAGACATTGGCATACGGCAAAAGGGGTCATGTAGATGATTTGAAGCCAAGCTTCCTGTGAATGTCATAAAAAAAGAACAAAACTTTCAGTGGCATAGCCACATGGGAGTACTAGGCAAATATTGAGAGGAAGGATTCTCCAGTATCATAGAATTCAAGGCCAGAAGGGACCACCACAGTATCTAACCTGAGCTCTTATGTATCACAGGTCATCACCAGCACCCAGCACCCGTACACGAAACCCAACAACTGAGATGAGACCCCAGTATTACAGCCCTTAGGAGGCTAGACTTATGTGTCACAGGCAGAGTGGTTTGGTTGCTAACATGAGACGGAGTTTCAATTCCCTGCTTTACCATAGACAAGTACCTTGGGCAAGTCACTTGATCTCTCGGTCTCATTTCCCCAACTGTAAAATGGAGATGATAACTCACACAGGTGTTGTGAGGATAAATACATTAAAGATTCTGAGACGCTTAGATAGCACGGTATGTTAATAGACCATTTTTTAAATATACTGCAATGGTATCTTCCAGACTTGCTCAAAAGTAACTCTCTGTGAAGTTAATTTAACGCAGAGTTGTCATTTCTGTACCTCACTGAGCCAGCAAAGCAGCCCATTGCTTTTTAAACTGAGATTTGCTTCTCCGGGGAGACACCTGCCGTACCTCTTCCTGGGGTAGTATACGCACGGCCAGATACAATGGGGAGCAGGCATAATATTTTCTCTCTTACCGGAGTCGGCAGAAACTTGTATTTCATTGAGTCCTAATTGGAAGTGACCCTGCAAGAAAGAAAAATGAACAACTCTCTTATTCCCATCTCATTCCAAAGTGCACCACTTATTTCAGCTATTTCCCCCACCTAGGGAGATTTCCCCTCTTTGAAAATGCATCCAAGGGGACCCTTATATTTTTCCATACCATGGGAAAGGAATGATGTGAAACTCTGGTAAATCCAGTCCTGCTCGGAACCCATCCTTTGTGGACTTCCAGAAGCATTCTTGTTTGAGTCCATACTTCACTTCTCTTAACAGGCTTCTTTCTCACTATTAGTGTAGATCATTGGTCTGGGGAGAAAAATAGGAACATCTTAAAAAGTTCTAACATGAAAAAGTTAGAAACATCAAGTGGTTGATTCAGCACCATAGGTATCATTGGTAAAGCACTCACTTACAAAGTAATAAGGATTACTGCAAATTGAACATCCTTGTGATATTATTTGCTAATAATCCCAAAATCAATCTCAGCAACAAAGATACACTATGGCTAGTCACAAATATAATTTAACTTGTTTTTTATGTATCAGAAAGTGTTTTAATTCACATGATTTTGAAGGGATTTAAAGTCTCCAGAAATGACTAAATTGAAAACTGACTTTACATTCAGTAGGCTCTTCTCTTAAAATTGCATAGTTAAAGTTTTTAATTATTTTCAAAACACCGAGTACTTTGAAATTATCATTCATAATCCAAATTTAGATTTCTAATGAAAGTCCTGGCATAGGAATCACTTTTAGGATACATTCATACTCTATCAATCGTTACAAAAATAACATATGCAGTATTTAATATACACTGGTTTATAGTCCATTCTTGTTAAATTTAAAAACTGATCAAAACTGTAATGACTCCAGGAGTCTACAATTCACTCTTCTTTATTACATACCTCTAACACATTATTTTGAATATATTTAGCCCAAAAGGATATGGTTAGCTAAAAAGTATGTACACATCTGTGTACAGATGCAAACTGCCCAGGTAACCTGACAGAAATGTAATGATCTAAAAACGTAAAGCTAAATTATTTTTAAAGGCAGTTGAACTCTTCTATTAATCAGTAGCAAAAATACAAAATTAGTCATTTTTATGCTTGTATTAAATAATCTAAATCTTATTTATAATAATATAAATGCTAAAGTTTTGAAAGTACTGTCTGTTTATGATGTCACTGTAAGGTAAGATGTGTTTATGCCCCATTTATCACTCATATTAATGTGAATTTTGCCCAAGCCGGGAGTTCAAGATGGGGATTTTAGTCCTAAATAATGGCTTTCAGTGCTGATAGTCCAAATTCAGTTTAGATTTTAAAAAGTTTGATAAATACAATAATTGATGGCCAATTGAAATCAGTTGTTACACTGGATTTATAATCTGCGCGACAGACAAGCAATAGTATTGCAATCATAAAAGATAGCTCTACAGATTCCATAAGAGTAAATTAAAGGAATTATTTTAACATTTTAAGGTAGCAAACATTTCACTCCTTATTCAGTTTCTCTGTTTGGGGCAGACTGAGGAAAAAAATGCTTAATCATGTAATATTCTCACTACTTTTTTCGTCCTTTGAACTCCATTCTAGAGGAGAGCACTGGTGGCTTAGAGCTAGTGGTTTTATTTTCCTTCTGAGATACCAACTCTAGATCCATTTATGATGCTTATTGGCAAGTGATTGGAGGCCGCTATTTAACCAATAAACCTTGTAAAACTAATTTAATTACGTTACTAAAATCTGTTTTAGCCGATGCCTAAAGCTGAATGAACACAACTGAAAGTGTCTCTTTCATGCACCCGTCTCCCGTCTGTAGATATAGATTTCCAGCATTTCACTAGTTCAGCTATCGCCTATAAGAAATTTGACCCTTTACAAGCGCAGACCTTGTGTCCCTAAGATTATTTATTGTTCAACACTATTGTGCCAGATTTTGTCAAATGTGCGATATTTTCCATTGTCCTTTTCTTGGTTCAAAACACCAATCTCCTTGCCAACAGACCTAAGCACGAAGTGTACGTTAGTTACCCAGAGGAAAAAGACACCATTATTTTTGCAGAATCACTTGAGTTTTCACAGAATATTGGTAGCTTTAAAAAAAAAATCTAAACAAAAGGTGTTCAAATAGTCACTGCTTCTTTAGGTCCCTGTGAATAAGCATTCACAAGACTTATGCCATGTGGGTACCTTATTACAGTATTTTTTCGCTCCTTATTATATATATTGTAATGTATTTTAGTGAGACTGATGTGTGGCCCAATCCTGTCCCCTTTGAACTCAATAGGAGGTTTGCCATTGACTTAAAGGGAAAAGATCAGGCCTGTGATACCAAGGCTAGCAACACATACAGTATAGCAATGTACTTTGGGTATTAACAACTTGTCACTTCTATAGGGCTTTTCTTCAGAAGCTCTTGGCACTTTACAATTATTATTTAAATATGCATCAAAAAGCTCTTTGTGAAGCAGATGCTAGTATATCTTTACAGACAGGTAAACTAAGTCCAAAAGAGAGGGTAAACAACTTGCCCAAGATCAGAGCAAGTCAGTGATTCCCAGTCAGCCCTGCTCTAACTCCCAGACCATAGTTGCACTCATATTAGAGACTTCTGATAAAATTTCAAAACTGTATTGTGACTCATAGGTCATTTAAAAAATATAATAATTCTCGCCACACACTAGAAAGTTTTGATCGTCTTACTTGAACTGTTTGGTTTCATAATGCTGCACCTGCAGATGGAAGAAGTGTCTATTTATATCCCAGCATTCTCTGCAGTAAATATTTACTCCTATTTGGGGGACTATTAATGTACCAATTAATACATGATCGTTATACTATATGAAAACTTCTGCTAATGGCTTATTGAATTTCAGTAGTGGCTAGATATAAAATTTGTGTTAGAGATGATGCGCCGCAGGGGTGAGTCCGAACCTCTACAGGGCCTCTCCTGCTGGTCATCTCGGGAATTAGCTCTTCCAGCGTCGTGGAGCACCCCCTGCAGGCTGGTGATCCACCTGTCCCCTGGCCCCGTGTCCCTCCCGGACCCCGGTGCCCCTATCTCTGGGTGCTGCCCCCTGGCAGTACACCCCCCAGTCTCAGGGTCTCCCCTCCCAGGGAACCCCCACCCACTATCCCTACCTCACTTCAGAATAAGGCCACTACCAGTCACCAACTAGCCCCCGCTCCCTGGGGCAGACTGCATGATAGGCCACTCATCATCGGCAAGGTTGGGTTTGGACCTGCTGCCTTGGCCTAGCCATGGGCTGCCCTCTGCAACCCCCAGTACCCCTTGGCCTCCTACTAGGCCGCAGCCTGGGGCTATCCAGGCTGGAGCTCCCCAGCCCCGCTCCACTCAGGTACTCTATCTCCCTGCAGCCAGGCCCTTCTCCCTCTGAAGGCAGAGAGAGACTCTTTGGCCTCTGACTCCCAGCCTTTTTATACAGGCCAGCTGTGGCTGCTTCCCCAATCAGCCCAGCTTTTAGAGCTGCAGCCCTCCTCCAGGGCTATTTTAAACCCCTCAGGGCAGGAGCGGGGTAGCCACCCCGCTACAGGCCCAAACTAAAAATCTTTGATCCAAGCCCAGATACAGTTCAAAATTCAGGTTGAATGTATCTCTCTACCTGAATTAGAACATCTTAACATTTGAGAAAATTTAGATTTTTGAATCCTCAAACTTGGGAGCATTCCTGTCTGAGATTCTGGTTTCAGCCCATCTCTGCTGTATACTTCACAATGCATTTTCACCTTAGTGCACACACATATTTAGGGACCCAAGAGAGAATACTCCAAGACAGAGTCAAAATTACAAACAAACAAAAAATGGTGTGGTGTCAGTTGTCAGAGTAGATTAAATGCTAGTCTCACTTCTCCGTTACTTTATAATATACTCCATAGGCTAAAATAATTAATAGTGCAGCCTTGCAAAGAGAAGTTGATCTAATAAACAGTTTACTGTACAAAAGTATGCTGTACAGTAGACTCCTTACCATCCAAAGCCCTATGTCTAAGAAACTACCAGCATGTCTCCCTGTTTTATTGACTCCTGGTTACCAGAACTCTCAAGTATCTGAATATATTTGCAAAAAGAAGAACAGGAGGACTTGTGGCACCTTAGAGACTAACAAATTTATTAGAGCATAAGCATCCGAAGAAGTGGGCTGTAGTCCCACGAAAGCTTATGCTCTAATAAATTTGTTAGTCTCTAAGGTGCCACAAGTCCTCCTGTTCTTCTTTTTGCGGATACAGACTAACACGGCTGCTACTCTGAAACCTTTGAATATATTTGGTGTCTTGAGGAACATGGATTTCTATTGTACTATAACTGAGTTAATCAGTTTCACATAACTATATATGACATCAGTTTGAGTCATGGCAAGTAATAAGAGCATCTAAAAAAATGTTTTTAAATACTTATCTATGTAGTTAGTCAGCCAGACTATCTAGGCATTTAAATCACACTCATGGTTTTGATTAAAAAATATTTCAGTTATGATTAAATTGCTTCTTAAATTGCATGGACTGAGGTAGCCATCTTTCGATTTGGGGAGGTCAGGGGGATCGTATTTGAAGGCTCAACTAATAAAGGGGTAGTAAATTATTAATAGCTATTTTCATTGTTTAATAGATTAGTCAATAGTTAGAGTCCAACAGGTCAGAGATTGCATATTACTATGGCTTATTACCAATAACACCTTTTGCTGATATGCCTACAACAGATACTACTCACATCCATAAATATGATTATGACATATATTAATTAATAAAAAACACTTTATAAACAGAACCTTTCTACATAGAAACTGTACTTTTAAAATAAAGGTCACTACTATGCCATGTGCACTACGGCCTACCATAGCTGATAAAAGCAACAACAAACTCAGTCTAGCTAACCCTTTTGTATTCTCTCTGAAGGTCTGGTTTCAAAACAGAAGGGCAAAATGGAGGAAACGTGAAAAAACTGAATTGTTAGGGAACGTTCCAGGACTCTCCTTAACGCATCCATTGGGTCTGTTTTTGGACATTCCATTGAGTCAGTCTCCTCTTCTGGACCACGCATGGAGATCAATGCCACTTTCAACAATAGCTATGCCATCCGTAACTCCAGCATTCAACCCTGCAAGTTTAGGGCCGTTTGGTCTCAGCAGTCTTGCCTGGACATCGCTCTTCAGAAATCCAATTTTAAGTCCCCATTTTGGAAGGTACAGAGAGCATATTTTAAGTGCTTTTCTTTTAAACCTCAAGGTTTTCTGTCTTATTATCTATCTTATTATCTTTTCTTTTAAACCGTGAGGTCTTCTGTCTTATTATCTATCCCTTTCTTTTAAACCTCGAGGTTTAAAAGAAAGGGATAGATGATAAGACAGAAAATACAATATTGCCTCTATCTACATCCATGGTACACCCACATCTTGAATACTGCATGCAGATGTGGTCAACCCATCTCAAAAAAGATATATTGGAATTGGAAAAGGTCCAGAAAAGGGCAACAAAAATTATTAGGGGTATGGAATGGCTGCCATATGAGGAGAGATTAATAAGACTGGGATTTTTCACGTTGGAAAAGAGATGACCAAGGGGGGATATGATAGAGATCTATAAAATCATGACTGGTGTGGAGAAAGTAAATAAGGAAGTGTTATTTACTCCTTCTCAGAACACAAGAACTAGGGGTCACCAAATGAAATTAATAGGCAGCAGGTTTAAAACAAACAAAAGAAAGTATTTTTTCACACAACACACAGTCAATCTGTGGAACTCCTTGCCAGAGGATGTTGTGAAGGCCAATACTATAATAGGGTTTTAAAAAAGAACTAGATAAGTTCATGGAGGATAGGTCCATCAATGGTTATTAGCTAGGGTGGGCAGGATGGTGTCCCTAGCCTCTGTTTGCCAGAAGCTGGGAATGGGCAACAGGGGATGGATCACTTGATGATTACCTGTTCTGTTAATTCCCTCTGGGGCACCTGGCATTGGCCACTGTCAGAAGACAGGATACCGGGCTAGATGGACCTTTGGTCTGACCCAGTATGGCCGTTCTTATGCAATACAACAGCTTAATATCAGTAAGCAATTCACAGGTGCCATAATTAAATGTGTGTTCCAATGTTACAGTATGGATTCTGTCTATATAAATTAATAATATAAAAAGTTATTAAAAAGGCCAGCTCTCACATGTCTTACTCACTGGGATAACTTGAGTAAAATAAGCAGGATTTGGCCCTAAATTAGCTGTAAACCCCAATGAAAGTCATTCTACATAGTTACTGTTTTAAGGGCAGTTGTGCGTGTTGGGGGAAATCCTGGCCCCATTGAAGTCAGTAGGCCCTTGTCTTCATGACAGACTGTTTTAATGTAGACCAACTATGGACTCTATTCTGATCTCGTCTATACAGGTGTAGTATATTACACAGCTTAAAATCTACTACAACAGATCTAGATAGGAGCTCTCGAGGTGGCTCTACAGAATAGAGAATTATACTGGATGTTCCCACACAGGAGAGCAGAACACGGCCCCAGTTCCCTGAGCACCAATGAGAGAGCTGACATCGTTGGTTTTCATTTCAGGGCCATACTCGTACTGTTAACATTTCCTTTACTGAAGACATGTGTGCCCAATCCCAATGGGAGTTTTGCCATTGACTACAATAAGCACAGGGATGAGTTCAGGGTCTTCCTTCCCAAACTCCAAGACCTATGGGGAGATCCCAAACCTGTGTCCATTATCAGCGCTCCATTGAATTCTAAGGAGCTCTGATGATTTAGAATAGCTGAAGATCGGCTCCTCAGTCTCGCTCGCTCCAAGTGCTGAAATTAAACAACTGAAAGCTACTGCTGTGTTAGCACTGTATACTCCTCTCCCTCCTGAAATGACAGCCTATATTATAGCCTCCGATTAATGAGCACACCTTTCTGCCATGCTGATTTATGCTGCTTTTCACATGAAATAACTTGTCACAACAAATGGGTTGCCCAGAGACCTGTCTGAAAATTGTTCCCTTCATGAAGTATTCTGTTGTTTCCTCAGAGCGTGCTGCTCTCCCGCATTACAAGGTTTGCTTAGAAAGGATGTAACATGTTAAGAGAGTGACAGTAAAGCCAACAAACTGACTTTTCTAGATAGCTGCATGCAATGCAGTGGTATGAACATCTTTCTTCTATGCTGCAGCCACAGTTTAGTAAGTGATATTCATTAGGTGCAAAGTGGATTTGCCCATTGCATTAAAAAAAAAAACAAGCTAAAAGTAAATTTACAAAAAAATGTAAGTTTGGAATGAAGAAGAAGTTTGGTTTAAAAAAAATTCAACCCAGTTTAGTGCTATGGTTATTAATAAGGTAAATATTTCTTCTACAAAATACTTCTTGGTTTGTTACTATTGACTTTTTTTTCCAAATATAGATTTCTCAATGCTTTAAATCCTCTCATGACAACAGCTTCAGTCTTAATGAAAGCACCAGGACCCCCGTCAGACCCTGGTCTCACTGCCTTCACTGATCCGGCAGCAGTTGAAAGGAAAACGTCGAGCATTGCAGCACTAAGGCTCAAAGCGAAAGAACATTCAGCACAAATCCCTCAATTAAACCTCCTATCCAGTCTTACAAACACTAACAAAGAACTTTGTTAGGAACTTTCCCGCAGACTGCAGTAGCATAGGAGAAAGCAAATGCCTTCTCCCATAAGTGGATCCAGTTATACAGAGGCATATAAAAAAACCCATCCATCTGTAGATCTTCCATCTGCAAAATGGACTGATGGAAATTTTAATCCTGCTAAAAATAGCTTTCCTTTATTATAACACAAAATTGTGCGGTCATGTAGCAAATGATAAATGAGTACTTATGGTGAATTTTCAACATTACAAAAGATATACATCAGGAATTGACTCTTCTACATAAATAAAACTAATGTGAAGAACGAGTTTGCTGTGAAACCCCATGATGTACTGGACATTAGCACAAAGGTTGAAAATCCTCTGTAGAAATAACTCTGGAGTTTTATAAACAATCCTTAAATGATGTCTCAGGAGGAACTGTGTAACCACAATAGTTTAGACCTAAGAATCAAGATATGGTATGTTCTTAATTTAAAGATCATGCTTCACGTTGAAGTACAAATGCCAGTGAAATTTCACAAAGTAAACAGAATGATCAGGAATGAGGTATGAAATATTTTGAATATAGGGCTTTGATTCAAAACTAGGTTTGTACAAAATGTATCCTGTTTCAAACTGAAATAAACAAAAAAAAGTTTGCTTATCCGTTCAATGCGGCAATGTTTTAATAACTATATCCTAAGCTTTAACCTTTGACCATAGATCACTTTGTAAATGAAAGTTGTCCTGTAAGAAAATATTTGTTTCTGTGCAGTAAATTGTGTGTAATTCAATATATATATATTGGTGAGTAGTTACTAGTTTTAACCACAAGGTTTCTGAATGTTTTTAGTGTGACTGGTGGCAAATAGTAGCAGACCATTATCGTTAAGTTAACTCTCATTATTTGTAAATCTCTTTCAAAGTATATTGTATGCTTAAATAGATTCAGATTTGCAGTGAAAATTATTAACAGGTCTTTAAAAAAAAAAGTCCTTGAAATGATTGTTGGGAAGAGTAAAAACTGAGGTTCTGGCGAATAGACATTAAATTTACCAAAACCCTTGGGCAAGCCATTTACTGTATCTGCCCCAGCTGTAAACTGGGGGTGAGAAGAACAACAACTAGTTCTTGTATAGCTCTTGATCCAGAAATACCAAAGTGTGTTATAAAGGAGGGTAAGTATCATCCCATTTTACAGACCACTTGCGTATCTCCCAGGGCTGTTGTGAGGACTAAATGAATGTTCCGAACACTGTGCAAATATAAAAGAGCTATATTAGTGCTAAGTGTTGTATGTTAATTGGCAACCTCAGTGGCAGTCACAGCAGAGGCAACAAGGACTAAACAGACATGGAGACCGAGCTTTTGTCTCATCCCTAGAGGTCCCTCCAAAGAGGCTTTGAGTACCATACATTAGTATGGGACAGGGTGGAGAATCTTTCATTGATGCTGCCTGTGCTTCTCCTGTTCCATTGAGACCATTCTGATGCACTAACGTCACTTAAATACAGAAAAAGCATTCAGTGTCCCCCACACCTCTGTAAGATTTTTTTCCCCCATGTGCTTCATGCTCTGTAAGATCAGGCTACTGTATCTTGACTCAAACTACAATCAACCTACCATAGCCCCTGTTACATCTCTTGATAACATTTATTCTGAATGTGATCAATAATGTTATCAATACTGTTGCAGTGAGCTTGGAATGTAGAACCCTTAGCTACCCTAATTTCTGCTTTTGTAGATGTCTCTAAACCTTGATTGTATTAAATTTTGTACATTATACAGAAGACTTCTTGGTTAATTAGATTGTTCACTTCCCTTACCCTCCAAAACTGCTTTTATTCTAGCTTGTGGTCTGACTGCAGTAAAAGTTGTGTATACATCTACATAACATCACCTTCGCATAGGAGTGAGAGAGCAGAAATATTTTAGGTCTGTAGACCAGTGTAACTGTTCTCCCACCTTTTTGTAAAGTAGGAGGATAGTTTGTATAAACTGTCATTACACAAGTTGTATTTCTTTCTGCACATAATTCCTTGTGTTCTTCCTCTGGAATTAATACTCGGTTTCTTGAAAAGGCTAGAAAATTCTGCAAGGAAAGCACATTCTGTACTTTTTCTAAAAAGTAACAAGAAATAGAATACCCAAGTATGCTAGGTGCATTAGATATTGCTCCCTACGTTCACCAATGCCTTGCTTAAATGAACTCGTCCAATAGCTATTCAAAACAGAATTTGACTATTTAAAAAATCCCAGCTGTTCCTGCTAATTATTATTCTGCAGAGCAGTATCCATAAGACAAATAGTGTCAAAAATACTTTTTGAAGAAGGCACTCCGGCATTTCAACATATGGGTGAAATCCTAGCACCACTGTAGTCAATGGGAGTCTTGTCATTGACATCAGTGGGGTCAAGATTTCATCTACTGGGTCAAATTCACCCACGTCAGAATTCCATTGATTTTTATAATTATAACGGGGATGAATTTGGCCCAGCAAGTCCCTAAGCTTTCCCCATACACATAGAACTCCCATGCATATTCACAATCAGGAGTTTAGCAAAATAAGCAATGCCAGGAGGTGAGTTGCTTTGCTCACATTTTTTCAGTGGGTACGTCAGGCATACTTGTTTAGAAGTATGGGGTCTGCAGACGGACCACGAAGGTTTCACAAAGGAAGGAACTGGGTGGGGTGAGAAGAGAAACTTTGAAAGTGAACTGGGACAGGACGCTGTTGTGAGAAAGCCCCTGGTAATGTGAAATCACAGGCTTTCCCGGGGGGAAAGTAAAACAAAAGAGGAAATTAACAATTTTTTTTTTAAGTTCAGGGCAGCTTGATGGGTCAGTGGTTTACAGGATTACCCTGCGATCTGGATACTTGTGTTCAATTAAGTTTGGCTACCCCATACAATAAGTTTCAAGGATCTCCTACAGTTGCCTGCAGAATCACTGTCTGTTCAGCTGGAGCCTGGAAACATAGGCATTCATTTGATAGGCTTCAGGACCACAGAAAACCCCGTGAACTCAAAATTATTTTATGCTAATCTTGCCCTGGTGCAAATTCAATAATAGTACCTACCTCCTATATCATACTCTTCATCCATGGATCTGAAAGCAAGATAGATGTCCTTTTAGCCCATTTTACAGCTACAGAAACCAAGCCACAAAGAGGCAGAACTCTTTACCCATGGTCACACATCACATCCAGTCCATGTCAGAGCTGGGAACAGAGTCCCAATTTGCCGAGTTCCAGTCTAGAGCCCTATACCACCAGGGCTGCCCAGAGGATTCAGGGGGCTAGGGGCAAAGCAATTTTGGGGGCCCCTTCCATAAAAGAAAGTTGCAATACTATAGAATACTATATTCTTGTGGGGGCCCCTGTGGGGCCCAGGGCCTATGGCAAATTGCCCCACTTGCCCTCCCCTTTGGGCGGCCCTGTACCCCACTGGACCACACTTCCTCTCTGACTGGTGAATCCCTATGTATCGGAATGTTTAGCCGGGTCATTAACATGTCAGATCAACAGGGCTGTATTGATTCATGACAGCACGTATGGAAGCTGAGACCCCTACTTGCCAGTGCTGGGGTTGCTTTACTTCATGCTACTCTGCCAGACCCTCACTTCCGTAACCACTAAAATTTCCCATCAGTCACCCAAACTTTGCTTTTAATAAGCAGAGTGTACAAAGGCCACAAAGGAAAGATGCTCTATCAATCACTTCAAATTGCAGTTATATTATTGAAATAAAAGCCAGAGATGACCCGTGCCTGCCAATGGGGCGGGAGAGGGACACAGTGAGGGCAGCGGCTTCAGCAGATGTTAGTGAGCATGCTCAATCCATGTGATTATGCTCAGTACAAGCCAAGCAGCAAATTGGAGGGGAGGGGGACATGACCCCACATGCTCCCCACCCCCACCCCCACCCCTCATGCATCGCCTCTGAATAAAACTCAAGTCACACTTGTTTTCAGCAGGCTCCTTTGTACTTCCTCCCATGCTGCCCTTTATGTGTGGGAGGAGCTCCCTGTCAATAGCTGCAAAGCCGCCTCAGGGTCCTCTTTAAAACTCTCCTCTACCATGAGGCCTACGGACAGCTCAATCAGAGCAAGGCAGCTGGTTTGCCCAGCATGCCGACCACTATCATCCCACTGGTTGCTTGTGCGCCCCCATGTCTTCTTGTTGTATCTTCCTGGTGTCTATAGTGTTCTACTTAGATTGTAAGCCTGAGTCAAGGCCCATCTCTCTGATGTATATTTGTACAGTGCCAAACACAATGGGCTTGTGGCCTCTGGGAGTGACGTCACTCCAGATATTAATTTTAAATATTACTTAGTTTGGTATTAATGTAATTATACCACAGATCGGAGAGGCCTCCAGTGAAAGGAATTATGGGGGAATGTAACAGAGGCTACCAGTCCACAGAGCACTCAGATGGAAACTGGTGTATCATGCATTAAATGTTTCCTAGCAGAGCATGCCTCAGTAACTTCCTGCCCATTTTCCTTTGAAACCATAGAGAAATTTTATTTAAACTGATTTAATTTTCTCGGCTTTAATGAGTTTTTCCAAAAGTTTCCATTCCGCTGCGTGAACTGAAAAGCCAGCTGTGAGAGCTAATAACATTATGAAAGTCAATATGTATGTGCAACACTTGAAACCGGCTTAGGAATCAAAGCACATCTGTAACCAAAACTGTGCCTTGTTTGAACTCCCAGAAGCTTCTTTTGTTGCTATTACAGATCAATGTTTTGTTATTAACTATAACACCAAAGGAGGAGGGTTTGCTTAGACCCACCCTTCTCATTTTAAGTTTTCAGAGGCAGTAGAGGCTAAAATACAAACTTATATATATATATATATATTATATATATATACACACACACACACACACACACACACACACACGGTTATTAAACCTTCATTTTTAAAAACATACTGGTGCATTCTCTCAAAGTCTCCAGTGGATTTAAGGGTCTGATCCAAAGCCAATTATCAATCAATAGGAGCCTTTCCATTGATTTCATCAATAGACTACGGATCAGGCCCACTTTGCTTAACTCCCATTTGCATTACCAGGGGGCTGCATGCATATACCACATGCACAGTAAAAGAAGAAGAATTCCCCCATAGTGTTGCTTTAATTACTTCTTTTTTAAGCAGCAAGCGGAAAAACCTTCAGTCTGGGTCTGGATTCATAGACATGCATGTGTCAGCATTCTTATAATGAGTTATGCAGAAATTTACTTTTACAATTTATTTCAATGCAATACGAAGCATGCCATATGCAGAATAGCCCATTCATAGAAGAGTTGTCACACTGAACATATGAATTATTCTCCAACACTTGATGTTGCCATATAGATCAAATCATACAGTCCTTACTTAGGCAAAATGCCCATTGACCTGGATTAAGATTGCATAATTTGGCCCTGTGCTTTTCTGTTGCTTTAGGATTTAAGTCTTATATTTATAGCATAATTCTACTCTGGTTGACATAAATGGGAGTTGTGCCATTGACTTCAACAGAAGCAAGATTAGAGCCCTTACTCGGTGTTCTTTTTTTTTTTTTTATTGGACACTGAAAATACGTAAATGGAGATTTTCAAAGCCGCATAAGAGATTTAGACACATCTTCCCTTCATCTGCGTAAATCCCCTGGACA